TTGTTCAAATTGTTTTCTTTCAGCACTAACTGAAAGGGTATTAAAAGGCAGTGTTCTGCTAGATAATTCTTTTCATTTCAACAGTTAGAATTGGCATAAGAAGGTTATATGACCATAAGCGGGGAAAATAAATGGTCTGTTAGACTGTGATTAAGAGGAAACGTGTCAGTAAAAAGCTGAAGTGAGTTTTCCAGCAAGCTGTAGTGAAAACAGTAGTACCTGCAAAACAGGAATCGGTCCCATCCACAGGTTCAGAAGAAGAAGAGCTGGTTTGCTTTATACAAGGCATTCTAGGCATTCTTCAACATCAGTCAGCTCAATAACACCTAAAATAACAATGTACAATTAAGGTTAGGGTGTAATGGGGTTTATTAAGTGTTTCAGGCTGTTGAGAGATACTCCTTGTTCAACTGAAGTAAATAATTTGTAAGTAGAAAGAGTAATAGTCTAGCTGTTAATCTATGAGATGTGATTTAGTATGTTGATTGCTTAGCCTGAGTAGCTGGATTTGATGAAGCCTTCAACCTTAAGCTGTGAACTTTTCTAGAAATGTTTGTTTTTGGAACAGAATTAATTTCCTTAATCTTCCTAATAGCTGATACAGAGCTGTGTTTTGTCTGTGTTATGGGAAGGACATTGAAAACAAAGGGATATTTTAATTGCTGCTGAGGACTGCTTACCTGGGTGAGGGCTTTTTTAGTTCCCTGTGCTCTGCCATGGAGCAGAGGCACCAGCTCAAACCAGAGATCAGCAGGAAACAAGCACCAGCAGAAGCTGCAGTTCCACATGAGTTGGATGGCCTGCCTGGAAATGGAGAAGCTCCCAATAACGTGCTGTAAGGCCCCAAAAATCAGCAGTGAACTAAGAGGTGCAGGCAAGATGGGTGAGGGGCAGGTGCCTAGATTCTGCAATTCCCTGGGGACTTCTTTGTTCAGTGTTCCTCTCCAGAGACACACAGCTTATCTGCTGCTCTAACACTCTGTTAAATTATTTATTTTTATAATCTGATGCCTGAAACTGCTTTGGGAAACCTGCTGTCTTTAATATAAGTCTTTGTGCTTATTACATGAAAATTGTTCTTTAGGAAGCTATTATCATCTCTGAAGCTTTTTGCTTTTAATTTTTTTTTTTTAATTTACAAAAGTCTCTTCCCAGAGCAAACAGTGCCGAGAAGGAATGCTCAGGAGTGTCTACTCTTGTCTAGGCAGAACCTGTAAGTTCAAGGTGTGATGATACAAAACAGTAGACAGCTTTTAATCAGATTTGTTTATTTTTTGTTTGTATTTTTTTTTTCCCAGGGATGATTTGTGCTTTCTCTCCCATCCCTCCTTCCTGTCAGCTCTGACAGAAAATGTCACTTTCTTTCTCATTTTGATATCTGCTGGCATATTGAAAACTATGCAAAGAAGGGTGAGCCAGTTTTGTGCACAGAAAGGAATATGATGGTGAAGTCACAGTTAAGTGGGAAAAGAATGGGGACAAAATCCAGCGAGGCTGGGCTGTCTCTGCAAATTTGACCTTCAAAATACTTCTGGATTTCTTCTCCAAAGTGCAGATTTCCTAGTGTACAAACTGTGTGCCTTTACAAGTGAGTCCATGATTTGAAAATATTTCCCAGGATAATTTCATGGTTTCTGCACACAGGTGTGTTCTGTGTGTGACTTAGAAAATAACATTTTCTGTTGGAAAAATCCAGCACAGAAGTTTTTACAAAATTGCCTTTTAAAATTTTCATTGCAATATCTGTTCACCAGTAAAAGGAGAGTGCTATTTCTAATCAACGTCTAGGTAAGTATCCATCTGTGTCTGTAAGCATCACAACTTATTTTCAGTGCTGTGTTCTCATTTCAGTAGAAAAATGGTCTTTTGCTTGCACCACCATGAGATTTCCTCTTCTAGTACTGTTACTAGAAAGGTGAATGGCAAGAAAGGAGTGGGAGTTTTCCAATAAAGTCTGTTCTTGCTGTTCTATACATTTTTCAGGGAGAACTAAATACAGACATTTTTTTTTCTTTCTTTGGGACAAGGCTTTCCTTGGCATAGATATTTTTTGCCAAATGGACTGTATTCTTCCCTGAAGCAAAGTCTGTTTGAATCATGGTAGGGTTATTTTTTTCCCACTGAGAGGCAAAGCTCTGGTTTATATATATATATAAAGAGGAATTGGTGATGTCTGAAGAGCCAGTTAAATGGACCTGTAGAGGACAAACCTTACCAGAACATGTGGGTTTTTTTCTATATACACATAAACATATCAGTGTCTTGAAATTACTATTCCGTCCTCTACTGCCAACTCACCAAAAATCACTGTGTGAGGGATCACATTAGTGTGGTTGGCGTAAAGATCCCACTTAATATTAAAAAAATACAATAAAATAATTTTAATTGAGCTGTTAGCAGGGTGGCAATGTGCAGATGAAACATATTTTTTTTCCGGCTGATAGACCAAAGGATGGAAAGGCAACTTCAGGTGTTGTTACAGCCCCTTTGGGAGCTGTCAGGTAAATGATGTTTCCAAAGGTTTCCACTTTTGTGGAAAAACGTCTACAGCTGACTTTGGCTGCCCTTTAGCTTCATGTCAAGCTCTGTTCTTTGTGCTCCCCAGACTAAAAGGTTGAACAATGCAGAAATTGTTCAGCAGTTTTTTGTTTGAATATTTAAGTATGTTTTCATTTGGCCAAGCAAATGCTCTTTTGGTTTGTGTCTGAGCAACCAGTATTTTCCCTGTGTGTACATTTCAAAATTCTTAGAGAAGATATTTTTCATTTTATAGTGCATGGCCAGAGGAAAGCTGGGAGCTGCACTAGCAGGTACAATACGAATTCCACTTGTTCTGTCATCAAATCTGTGTTTTACTTACCTGTATAATAGGAGAATTATTTGATAACGTGCCTTTATGTCTCAGAACATGTGTATTCATTATTTGGGTTTGTTGGTGCTCTACTGTAGCCTTGGAAATAAATTGTTCCTACATGATGTTTACTGCTTACATGAAATTCCTGTCTCCAGAAAGTCTTCTTTGAAGTTGCTTTAAAGAGAGGGTTACTCAGCAAAAGTATGCACAAATATTCTTCCTGATATACTTGTTCCTCTATTCCACAATATGCTTTTTATTCTGGTTTTTGGAAGGGATATGCTGATTTTATTGTTTGGGATTTTGGGTTTGTGGGGATTTTTGTCCTCATGTTTAGCAGGCTTGGTCTTGTCATCTCCATCTTTCTTGTGATGTCTGATATTAACCAACCTTTCTTTCTTTAGCTGGTGTTTCTCTCCCATGAGTATTTTCATCATTTCCTTATACCATACAGTATTCATTCATTAGCCTGAAGGAAGCATGAACTCTATTTTAGTATTCGCTAAAAATGAAGTTTCAATTTGGGTTGGGGTACACAGACAATTCTGAGCTTTGCACAACACCTTTCAGAAGCATGGAAATACCCTTATATTGTGTATTACATATATGAATGAAATTACATGTTTACAGGCAGCTTGGGCTGGATCAGGAAACCGAAGAAGGATTCTCAGGGTACAGAAAAATCTCTCTGAACCATCCGTGCTTCCTCAGGGTGCTCAAGTGATGAGTGGCCTCCCCTGCAGAAGTGTAGTTTTTCAGATGAGATCTCACTGCTGTGTCTTCTTGCCTACACTTTGTTTTTTGAAGTGCCATAAATTTATAATTTACTGTACTTCTGAAGCTGTAAAGGATTTGTTCCATGCCATTAATCTCTAAGTGAATGTGGTAATTGAAAGATCTTTATTCTGTTTTGTATTCCAAGAGAAAATTGAGGTGAAAGGCAAAGTGTGGATAATGAAGACAGAATGGTAACTATTGATCTCTCCATGAAAATTTCTTTGAAGTTGCTTCAGGTAGTTTTGGGTAGATAATATGCAAGTTATCAGTCAGATGAATAGCTTGGTCTTTTTACTTGCAATGAAGAATGCAATTTATTAAATTAAAACTTGAAGTAAAATATAGGATACTGCTGTGGGTAGATAATGTTTTTTGCTTACAGCCCCTAGTATTTAATGCTTTTTTCCTGGCAGATTTGAGAGAAACTAAATCACCCTTGAGGTTCTCACATAACCAGGGCTTTCACAGAGACAATCAAGGACTTCCTGAATGGTGAAACAGATATTCCTAAAACATCTTTCTGTTACTCACCAGCATGGTAGTGCTCTGGTGAGAGCAATCTGTGCGACATGTAGCTAACACCTCTGGAGCCAGAGCCTGTAACTGCACCTCTGACAATTCAGTAGCACTTCTTTATTTAATATGTCTTTGGTATATAGGGTTCCCCTGAAGAATGTTTCCACTGGGAAATACCAGTTCCCATCCAATTCCAGTGCTATTTTTCGTGGGTGTGTAAATGAAGGAATAATTTGGTGTAACAGGATGAGTTCACTAGGAAAAGGTAAATTAAGAAAACCAACATGATGCTGAGCAATAAGATTCTCTTCTGTAAAGCCAGGCTGGGAGAGCCTGGGGGGTGTTCACCTGCACAGGAGAAGGCTCCAGGGAGAGCTCAGAGCCCCTGCCAGGGCCTCAAGGGGCTCCAGGAGAGCTGCAGAGGGACTGGGGACAAGGCAGGGAGGGACAGGACACAGGGAATGGCTTCCACTGCCAGAGGGCAGGGACAGATGGGATATTGGGAAGGAATTGCTGGCTGGGAGGGTGGGCAGGCCGTGGCACAGGGTGCCCAGAGCAGCTGTGGCTGCCCCTGGATCCCTGGAAGTGTCTCAGGCCAGGCTGGATGGGGCTTTGGACACCCTGGAATAGAGGAAGGGGTCCTGCCTATTGCAGGGGATGGGATGGGGTGATATTTAAGGTCCCCTCCATCCCAAACCACTCTGGGGCTCTGTAAACTCATTCTGTCTGCAACCGAAAGCAGTGAGTTGTTTAAGGTAGCACTGTGAAGAGCAGTGAGTTGTTTAAGGTAACACTGTGAAGAGCAGGCTGAGCTATTTGTGTAATTCTTTCCTACTGTTCTGTTCCTGTGCAGGCTGCTGCATTGCTGGAGACCACATCTAGCTCACCCAGCCTCCTAGACAATGTGCTCAGTGCTTTGAGACTGGAAGGACCTTGCTTTGCAATGAAGATGGAGGCAGTAGGAAAAGCAGAAGAACTTGTTGATTCAGAAATTCCACCAAAGACTTCTGAAAAGCAAGAGACTGCTCCTGATGAAGACAGGCCTATAGAACTTGAGACACAATCTCAGAAGGACAGCATGTCCAGTGCAGCAGACTCTGCGGTGCTCTCTTCTATGCCTTGCTTGCTGATGGAACTGAGGCGGGACTCCTCGGAGTCTCAGCTGGCATCTACAGAGAGCGACAAGCCAGTAGGTGGCCGAGTTTATGAGAGTGACTCTTCTAACCACTGCATGCTTTCCCCTTCCTCCAGTGGGCATTTAGCCGACTCAGACACACTGTCCTCCGCAGAGGAGAACGAGTCCTGCCAAGCTGAAGCTGCTGCAGAGGGAGACCCTTCTGCAGTGTCTGGGGCTGCGGTTGGGAGGAAATCCAGGAGATCCAGGTCTGAAAGTGAGACTTCAACAATGGCTGCCAAGAAAAACCGACAGTCTAGTGATAAGCAGAATGGCCGAGTTACCAAGGTGAAAGGTCACCGGAGCCAAAAGCACAAAGAGAGGATCCGGCTCCTGAGGCAGAAGCGGGAGGCGGCTGCTCGCAAGAAGTACAACCTGCTGCAGGACAGCAGTACCAGTGACAGTGACCTGACCTGTGACTCCAGCACGAGCTCATCAGACGACGACGAAGAGGTTTCAGGGAGCAGCAAGACAATCACTGCAGAGATACCAGGTAGAGGATGTTTTTTAAACTGAACTGTAACGCGCCTGACATCGTTTCTCAGCTGTCATGCTAAGTTAGATGAGTGACACTTGAGAAAAACCCAGGATAACTGCAGCTCTGTGTAAATTTGAAGACTGCAGTGTAATAACAAGACGTGGGCAAATTTAAAAAATCTGTTCTGAGGTTCCTGTGCACTTTTACACACCAACAAAGCATAGATATGGTAAATGAGAGGAAGGACTACCTTTGAATTCTGGATTTTTCAGATCTTTGTAAGCCTATATGAACTCATGTCAGTGCTGTCAAATCCCCTTAGATGGTGATAATCTAATTCTTAAGATAAGTGGCCAGCTTTGCTTCAATATGTAAAGCCCATAGCTTTGTGTTAGAAATGGCACAGCACGCCACTTGCCTGTGTAACAGTAAGGCTCTGGCCATTATTGCACTTATTCTATGCTTTCAGCTTGACATGTCAGTGCATGACGAACCTGCTTAGCCTTATTCTAAGTTCTTTCAGATTGCATCTGGTCACCTATTTTAGGATACAGGTATGATTACACAGGTGCCCAAGCTATATTCACACCCAAATTTTCAACATTTTAGACAAAGTTGTTACCAGTTTCCTATGTTATTAGGATCAATAATTTTTACACTTTTAACTTTCTGACACATCTATGTTAAGATGTGAGGCAGGAAATTATAGGGGCCTTCTTGTCATTTTATTAGTGTAATTTTATTAGCAAAAGAAAGTTGAATTCTTCAAGGCTTTTGTCTGCTGAGTCTTTGTTATTTTATTAGTCCAAGTGCTGTGGACAGGATTTTGTGTGAATTATTCTTACAGCATATTATACCATAGAACCATCATCATATGGCAATCAGAAATAAAATCCATAAAAATAAAAATACGTAAAAATAAACTTTTTTTGCTTGCCAATTTTTACTGGGTTACATGCCTTTTTACCTGTTGTGCTAGAAGTTTTTTCTTTTTGAGAAAATTAACGTCTTACACAGGGCAAGAACATTTAAAGGAAAACTGCATATTAAGTTCCTGAATGAATGCTTTCTAGATTAATTATTAAAAATACTGCAGCAGATTTTACAAATAATGGATTTAACTGAGTTGATTATGGTGGATGATGCTGTCACCACAAAAACTGGCATTTTTCCCACACCTGCTAGGAAGCAGGTTGCACAAAGGAAGTAAATGTTTATTATTAAAATGTCTGGAAAAGGCAAATATCCTCATAATTATTGTGTAGTAAACTTTTTATAGAGATCTAAAATTATTTTTACCAATTTAGCAGTTAGTCTTGTAGCTTTCAGAGTTTTTGCCTTTTTATTTATAATATTTACACTTTGGGCAATTTAAGCCTAATTTAAAGCCTGTTGAAGAAGACTGTTTCACTGTTTCGGGACAGGTTCTTCCCCACCGCTCAAAAAACACCAAAACACACAGAATAGGTCCCTCAGGTCACATTCTTTTTTAAAGTCATAAAAGTACCTTGTGACCTAGAATGGCACCACATGGTATTTTCAGGTTTCTGAGGGCCATTGTGGGGACCTGATGCCACTCCAGGATATTGTTTATGTGTCCCTGCGTTCTTCTGTATTTGCCTTTCAGTCCTGACCATGAACGAGATACTTTTGATGAAGGAGTCCTATCACATGAAGATCTTGACTATTAGTGATGATTACAGCAAGACCTAGCTTTACCTGCAGTGCAAGAGTGCACAAACCATCACGAGGGAGGGACACTAACATTTATTCTAATTTCACAGCACATGTCATCTGCTCGGTGCTGAGTTTTGTTTAAGACATTTAAAGGTTTGAGCTGCCCCCTTAGTGCGATGGGGTGTACCTGCCACATTGCAGTTTTCCCTTAAATAGAAACGGCTTTGCTTTGTGGGAAACGCCTTCCAAGTGCAAGAGAAAAATACCCTCTGTAGAGATAAGGACGTGGTTTGTCCAAAAAACACATCCTGTGCTGTTTGTGGGTGAAGGAGACGTGGTGTCAGAGCTGAGTTGGAGCTGTGAGTCTGGTTGGACTTCAGCACTCCATCACAGTGGTGGGTTCCCAGGCCATCTGCCATCCCTCTTCCTGGAGCTGGCAAAGTACATAGTTCCTTTTTCTGGCTAGAAAGCCATTTCAGTGCACATAGCAAAATACTGTGAATAGTCTCAAAACTGAGGGAGTGAATGCGTAGATTGAAAACAATACAGGGTATCAAAAAGTGTTACTGGAATTTCTGTCTGCCAGTGTTCTCTGCGCACAGTGGAAAGCTGAAAGGTTTAACTTCAGTGTTAGGACATAAGCATGAAAAACTTTTGCCTTTACTTTCAAAAGAATTACCTATACACATTGATGATGAAGAATTTTTTTACAGGCAGCATGTGTTCCCCTTAGTCTGTGTTTGGACATTCAGCTGCAGTCTCGATTACTTACTCAACGTCACTTATTTTCATATAATTTTAGTTGTTAGCCTTCTGTTACATGAAAAACAGCTTTGCCAACAGAGATGCTTTAAAACTTTTAATGACAGGTTATTTGGCTCTCATGACAAAAATTACACAGACTCTTAAGCTGTCAACACAGGTAGTGTTACAGCAGGCAGTTTGCTTGTGTGTGGTCTGAAAAATTAAATTGCCACATTTCAGAATACAGTAATCTTTCACATTGTGTCACTAAAACTCTTCCATTTAAATAGTGCAATAGTGTAAATAAATATTTTTTTAAAACCATCCACATCACTGACTCTGAAACATCTTTGGCTAAATTTGTAGGGTAAAGAAAATGTTCAGTGAAATACGTGATGATAATGATGATGCCATTAAGTTACAAACAGAGCAGTTGTTCAATAGATGATCAGGTCTCTCTGCTGAACTTAAAGGTACTGTGTATTAAAGTAGTGCCAGGCTTGTTTTTCTCCTCAAGGAAGACTGAAGAGTCGAGATTTTACTGGTGATACTTCAATACAAGTACTGTGAGCTGTACAGGAGTTCATCGCAGCGTAAGTTATGGAATTCTGAATGCATCCTGTGCTGTTAATTTACACCTGAAAATACAGGTTCAGTCTAAACTTCAAGGGTGTTCTGAGAACTTTTTCACTGGTGTGAGCAGTCATAATATTTGGCTCTTTATTTCAGGGAATGCCGTGATTTCTCGATTATTGCAGATGAGGAGCAATTTTTTATGTTTTAATGACTGAGCCTCTCTGTTGGCATCTAAGACTTTGCCATTCTTCAACACCACATAAACATGGCATAGGAGTCCTGAAACAGATTCTGCTAGTCTTTCTGCTGTAGTAGGAAGTTTTTCCTTTAAACAGTTTCACATGTGATGCTGCAAATTAACTCTGAATGAAATTGGTGTGAGAACAAGTCTGGGAATCAATATTTATTGCTATGTAAACACTTCTTTACTGGAAGAAGCAAGGGATTTAAAAAAAAATCAAATAACATACAAAAATATTTTGCATTTTACCATGATTGTGGTTTCTACAACTCAGAAAAATCTGAATTGAAATGGGGATGACTTATGTTTTAGGCTATCACAAAAACCTGTCAAAAAGTTTTAAGTGTTAATGTTGAAAAAGCTGCATATCACTTTGTTAAAAAAAAAAGCAAGGCTTTTTAAATATGCAGTAAACCCAAAGAGATGGACACAGGTTCCTTCCTCCTAAGAACTGTGCATAGATCTTGGATAAAGCATCTGCAAGGGATGAATTCAGAATGACAGTTATGTTAATAGATAGGAAAAAGAATTAGGCTGTTAAGAATGATTTGCTGTGAAATACTAATTTGGAAGTGTCTGCAGCAGAATAACACAGAGGAACCAACCATTGCTAATTAGAATGAAGATGAAGCATATCTTACATTGTTATGTTGCCAGACTTACTAAATTAAATTACTTTGGATTTGGTTATTACTTAGATTGTACTTAAGAGATCCCATAAAAAGACAGCATTGGGGCATTTCTTGGGTGCTGTTGTGCAGGAGGTGTCTTGAAAATGAGAGAGAAATTTTTGATTTTGACCCCTTTGTGACTTCAAATTTCTTCTCCTTTAAACTCGGCATAATGCAAAAACTATAATTTAAAGTTTATAGACAGAAGAGAGATCAATTAAATAAATGCTTGCATTTTTAATATGTAAAGATGCATTTTTAGGCTTGGAGATTTTTTTAACCCTAAAATAAAGAAAAGATTGAATACACCATGTTGTAGTAACTGCTCAGGAAGCATTTATAGCATTGTTTTGCTGCTGCTGTAAATTTGAGATACTTGATGAATTATGCTTTTTAAAATTTGTATTGCAGGGCTATATATATTTCAATACATACCTTATTCAGTTCACAAAACATTTTTGTCAACTTTGACCATTCTAGTTCATTCTTAACTTCAAAAACCTGAAAGGATTGTCTCACTTATCAACATCAATAGTTAAATTGCAATTAAAAATTAACATTACTTATTTATATGTCTGTGGAAATCAGAAAGATTGTAAGTTAGTTCCTTCAGTTTAAGGTAAGATCCAGGCTAAAGACAATTAAACACAATCATATTGGATGTTCAGTACTAGAAGTAAATTAACAGAAGAAATACTTATTTTAGGGAGGTAAAAAAATATTGAATATGCAAAAGGAGCCATGTTTTAGGAAAAAAGGTACCATGTTACTTAAATTTTGGTTAAAATGCATTTGGAGGGATGTAAATTAGTGTAAAGTAAATATTTTTAGCAGAGGACCTGAATGCTGAATTTCCAGCATATCTGATAGGTAAACAGATGGGCAAGAAAGACTTAAAAATTACTCTTCAGAAATAAGAGAATTAGCCAGGGCTTTGTTTAGCTATTCCTGAAGAATCTGTGTATACCTCATTTAAACAGTTCCTAAAAAGAATGTAGTGTTTAAGTGATACTGTAATTTCATGTACTCAGTGAAATCCCAATAAAGATTTGGTGCCTTGGGTTTTTATTAGTAAATATTTACTTAGGTTGTGCAATGGTTTCTCT